TCTGCACAAATCCAAATGTTTCCATATTCGCGAAGTATCTGGATGCTAACCTATTATTTATGTAAACTATAGGCTTTGTTCTTCACTCACATTATCGACATAAAACATCATCGTTCACATATAAGCTATATCAGCAGTGAGGTGCTGGTCACACTGAACGGAACAGACTGTACTACGGACTATTTAAATTGAGCAGTATAATTTTTGATGTTTCTTTAACTGTATTTTATTTTGATAATGAACACGCTGCAATGTCAAATTAGCAAAAATTAGTTGTATGTGTGTGTGAGGCACCGATGTGATCACTGCATTGTTTTCCCAACTGTTACTCCGTAATTTATGGTCATACCAACACACTGGTTTGTCATACAGATAAGGAGCAAAACATCATTCAAAACTGTAAAGCTTTTGTAAAAAAAGAAAAAGAAAACCACTTTCTGCAGTCCCGTTTTTTTCCGTGAACTTCGGAGCGCGTTACAATTATCCGAAACTCAGCACAATTTTTTTTCTTTCGTTTTGTTAATCTGTTAATAATGTAAGTGAAATATATTTTGTGTATCGGCCTATTCCTTTTTATGTAGCCTATATAGTTTTATTCTGTTTTCTCCGTTCACAGAAACGCTGCATGTGCGTGATGTGACCTTGTGTGAATCCGTGTTCTACACTGGTTTCTAACAAAAAGCTACCTATTACCTGCCATTCATTTTCACTTAAATGTAGGCCTAATGCTTGGCGGTTCGTGACATATCCTTGGATAAACTCTAACGCAGTGCATTGCCATTGCGACTTACCTATGATGAATTTACAGCTGAGCGCGGGCATTTCACTCTTTGGATGCGTCAGCGTCACGTTTGCATATGGCCGTACTATGCCATCTGACTAACTATTTTTTACAGATTTTATTTTGTTTTGGAAAGTATTTAACTATTTTGCCCAGAGAAAAACATTGGATTATGCAATAGACATGCAGCTTGTTGTCTCCATGCAGTTAATTAATAAACCATCGGTGTCTGCACTTTTCACGCTATTTCCGATATGCCGATGTAATCAAAAATCGGCTGATAAATATCGACGGCCGATACATCGGTGCATCCCAACATGTATGACCTTTTTATCTTAAAGGGGTCATATGATGTTGCTAAAAAGAACATTATTTTGTGTATTTGGTGTAATGAAATGTGTTTATGCGGTTTAAGGTTAAAAAAACACATTATTTTCCAGATACTGTACATTATTGTTTCTCCTCTATGCCCCGCCTTTCTGAAACGCGTTTTACAAAGCTCATCGTTCTGAAAAGCGAGGTGTGCTCTGATTGGCCAGCTATCCAGTGCGTTGTGATTGGCAGAATACCTCATGCGTGTGATGGAAATGTTACGCCCCTTACCATACTGTGATGCCGTGTCCTGGCCAGAGTGACGAGACAAAAACATTAAAACCCATTATAAATGAGGCATTTGTTGCATCCAGTGGGGACATAATTA